CTGACAGTCCTGAAAGTTCTCAACCTGCTGGGCGGAGTGCATCCAGACAACTTTGTCCACCTATGACTTTTCCCGAGCAACAAGCTCCATGCAATCCCCACCCCTTCACCAGCCCTCTCGCTGCCAGGAAGCCTTCCAGACCCGCTGTCTTTTCTTTGTCCCACAGCAGCCAGATGTGGATTCCTCTTTTCCACAAACATCTGGAATTTTAGTCTCTCCAAGTGTTCTGCCTCTCTTTAGGTTTCCAACAGCACTCCTCTCCAGAGCACTATGCAATGTAGGTCTGTGCTCCCAGAGCAGATCTCAGCTGGGTGTTCAGCAGCCCCAGGCCTCCACCCCCTCCCTGCTCTGTTTCTCTTCCTCCCAACAGTGAGCTGGGGTGGGGGAAGGGATTGGATCTCACCGGGTCAAGGCTTTGGTACGTCACCCTGTTTCATGAGGTCTGTTCTTTTCTCCAGATGTGTGCAGTCTGGCGCCACCTTCTTTCCTGTTGCTCTTTTAGGATTAGATGTATTAACTATATTTTCATATTATATGTGGTTTTTTGGAGGAGTTCTCTGTCTCACCTCTCACGCTGCCATCTTTAATCCCTCCCTGTATGTCTTTTGTTTACACCCCAAAATACTTTCTGCCAGAGTCTGGAATTTTTGTAACTTCCTGGATTCAACACTGAGCATTTTGCTCTATATTCTTGATAACAAATTTACCCATCTGAGCTTTCCTCTCATTATCCAAGACCCCATTTTATATCTGGTGCTGTCAAAGGGAGTTTCAGACACCATTTCCTCTAACCCAGGAGCCCTTATGCATGGAAGTCCATCAAATGAGTACTCAGATATTTGTGTGTTTGTCTCTGTAGGTAGAGTCCAAATACCATGACATATGCAGACCTGCAGTGACAGGCAGTGCGTTCTCACATGTGTGCACCTGTGTGAATGGAGCCCTGCACTTCCCCAGTACATCCCCTCAGGCCCCTTCCCAGTTATTTCCCCGCCTTCCCTTGCCCCATGGCCACAGCTGCTGTGGTTCTCAGTGCACGGCACTTGGCCAGTTCTGGACTTTGGTGTGAGTGGAATCCTACTGGGCCTTCTCTGCCAACACCATCACATTGTTGACTTGCCCCTGCCCTGTGGTCTGCATGCAGGGAGCTCATTCAGACTGTGGACGTCTTTCTCATAACTTGCTCTGTAGTTTCCTGGCCATAAGAACTCCTTCCCCACCAAAAAGCAGTTGCTCAATTTACCTGTCAGTGAATTTTAAGGAGAGAGTTTCCTTCTGCCACCAGCTTCTCAGAGTGTGAGTATTGAAGTGTGACACCAGCATTCATATTTTGACTACAGAATTCTTAGACAAAAGCAAGTCCATGGCAGGCCTGTAACTGATAGAGGAGGGCCTTGGCAGGGGCTCAAACCCAGCACAGTGGGCTCTGGAAGCTGGGCTCTCCCAGGTGGTGCGGAACTGACACTGCCAAAAGGTATCCCCTTACTTCTTGGGGTTGGTAGATGCAGCCAGGGCTACATCCTCTGAATGGCCAGAAGCCACTCAGCAACAGGAAGCCCTCTGGATGACATGCAAGCACTCACACAAGTGAGAGGTGCCAGGTGATTCCCTGGGAATTTCAGCACCCCGGTGGCCGGAAGCACCAGGAGTGCATTCAGTCAATGTGGAGTTTCTCCTTTTACTGCAGGTTTTCCTTTCTGCACTTGAATGTTTTGTTTTCCTATAGCCAAAATAGCCAATGTAAATATTTCCTTTCTACAGGGGTTATTGTATTCATTTTTGTGTATATATATTATTTTTTAATATTGACACTTAATGCTGAGGAGCATATGGAATAAAAAGCAAGTGTCCTCAAGTATTTCCCACCTCTCTCAGCAAAGGTAACTGTTGTCCACCCTCTTAATTCTTCAGTTCAAAATATAAGCATGTAGTTACTCATGAATAGAATAAGAATCTACTCATTCACGAATCATCATTTCACTTTTTATTCCACACCAACCTCCGTTCTCAGACTGGGAATACAGCACTGAAGGAGCCTGTCCAATCCCTCCCTCTTACTTACATGCAATGGTGGCAGGTGGCTAGAATATGGACAGCACCCCTAACCACCTTTGTGATTTCAGGAAAGAAGTGCTGAGAAGATACTACTCCTAGAAAAGCACATGGAGATGGTGTTGGGACAGTGGGCTGGAGTGGATGAAGCGGTCACACAGGATAGACAGTAGAGCCCTCTCTGATGAAGTGACCTTTGAGCAGAGCTCAGACTAACAAAACCCCTAAGCCAAGCACATTTGTATGGCTGTATTTGGTGTTTCTTCTGCCCAGTCAGGGAGGAGCTTTATTCAAAGGACAGAACCAACCTCAGTCAGTGTCAGATGGAGTGAGGGACTCAAAGTGGAAGCAACTGAGGTCTGAGCAGGAAGGTGGGTATAGGGCCCTGCAATCCATGCAAAGATGTAGTCCATATGTTAGGGAGCCACTGGATTATGTACAACAAAGGTGACATCTGATGTATTATTTTATCTAAGTGTCATTGACATAGAATATCCTATTTTCAGGTGTGATTCATTTCAGTCCACAGTGATTGGTTATTTTTATGCATTAGAAAATGATCCCCGTGATAATACTAGTTGCCGTGTATGATCTCACAAATTAATTACATCATCTTCCCTGTGCTGTACACTACTTCCCGTGACTTAGTTATGTTATAGCTGGAAGTTTGCACAGCTTCATCCCCTCACCTTGTTTTGCCTGCGCCCAGCCCCTCCCCCACCTTTGGTGTCCTTCAGATTCCTTGCCTGTCCGTCTATTTCTGTTTCTGTTTCTCAGATCCCACATACAGGTGCTGTCGTGTGGGATTTGTCTGTCTTACTTGACTCAGCATGATGACCTCAGGGCCATCCATGTTGTCACACACAGGAGGATCTCCCTCCTGAGGCTCAGGAGCATTTATAACTTAGTTGATGCTCTAGCTGAAGTTTAGAAGCAGACTTGAGAAAATCCTTCTGTAGTGTGTACATTCTTCTCTCCAAGAGAAGATACAAGCTTCCAACTAGATGGAAGAGCAGGGCCTGGGAGGGGAATGCTCGTGGGAGGTGGCAGTATTGTGTTGGGTGCTGGCCCAGGCTGCCTCACCTGTGACCATCCTGATGGGGCACTTTTTCTCTCCAGCAGAAGCAAAGCCAGAAATGCATCTCTCTGCATGCCACCCCCTGGCCTGCAGTCAGCACATCCTCATCAGGCACACGATTCACGGCCATTCTGCTCAGATGTGTGCAACAAATTATGCACAGCCAAGGAGTCCTGGCCTGGAACACAAGGAGCAAGAGCAGGAAGAACTCTCTCATCAGAGCGACCAGACTGATTGGGCAGCAGGTCAAGAGAGAGAAGAAAACTCCCAGACCTTGTTGAGGAGGGGGAGTCAGACCTCAGGGGCGTCTGCCAGCCCACACCCCACCCAGGCAGTAAGTCTGGACCAACGGAACTCAGTGGTGGAAATAGAGGGCAGCCAAGCCCAGAGGGGAAATCCTAAAGAAACAGGCAAAGTATTAAAAGGAAGAGAAAATTCAGGGTGTGAAGTATTCAGATCTGCAGAGTGTGGCCAAGGCTTTAGCCAGAAGACAAAGCTACTCGAACACAGAGAAGTACATTATAGGCAGAATCTTTTAACATGCAGGGAGTGTGGACAGGACTTTACTGATAAGTCAGCACTATTGTTGCACCAGAAGACGCACCCAGGAGAGACTCCATATATGTGCAGAGAGGGTGGGGCAGACTTCAGCAACAATTTTAACCTCATAACACATCAGGGGACACAGTCTGAGGAGAAGCCTTTTGTGTGCAATGAGTGTGGGAAAAGGTATACCCAAAAATCAGCTCTGAAAACCCATTCGTGGACACACTCAGGGGAGAAGCCTTTTGTGTGCAACAAGTGTGGGAAAGGCTTTACCCGAAAATCATCCCTGATTTCTCACCAGTTGAAACACTCAGGAGAGAAGCCTTTTGTGTGCAATGAGTGTGGGAAACGATTTTTGCATAAATCAACCCTAATCTCCCACCAGAAGAGACACTCACCAGAAAAGCCTTTTGTGTGCAAGGAGTGTGGGCAAGGATTTTTCCTGAAATCAGCCCTTATACGCCATTGGAGGACACTGTCAGGGGGGAAGCCTTTTGTGTGCAAGCAGTGTGGGGAAAGGTTTATCCATAAATCAGCCCTGATGTCCCACCAGTGGAAACACACAGGGGAGAAGCCTTTTGTGTGCAAGGAGTGTGGGCAAGGTTTTGTCCATAAGTCAACCCTGAAGTCCCACCAGTGGAAACACTCAGGGGAGATGCCTTTTGTGTGCAAGGTGTGCAAGCAAGGATTTTGTCAAAAATATTCCCTGATACGCCATTGGAAGACACACTCAGGAGAGAAGCCTTTTGTGTGCAAGGTGTGTGGGCATGGCTTTACTCGAAAATCAAACCTGAACTACCACCAGAGGACACACACAGGAGAGAAACCTTTTCTGTGCAAGGAGTGTGGGCAACGCTTTTCCCATAAATCATCTGTGACCTACCACCAGTATAAGCACTCAGGAGAGAAGCCTTTTGTGTGCACGTATTGTGGGCAGCATTTTAGGTGGAAGTCCATTCTCGTAAGCCATCAGAGTAAACACTCAAGGGCAGAGCCATTTGTGTGCAGGTGCTGTGGGCTAAATTTCAGCCTGAAGTCATGTCTCCTAAATCATCTGAAGACACACTCAGGTGAGAAAGCTTTTGTTTGCAGGGAATGTGGACAAAGCTTCTTCAAGAAGTCATCTCTTACCTCCCACCTGAGGAAACACTCAGGGGAGAAGCCTTTTGTGTGCAAGGAGTGTGGGCAGGGTTTTTTCCATAAATCATCTGTTACTTACCACATGAGGAAACATACAGGGGAGAAGCCTTTTGTGTGCAAGGAGTGTGGGCGAGGCTATTTCCAAAAATCATCTCTGACCTACCACCTGAGGAAACATTCAGGGGAGAAGCCTTTTGTGTGCAAGGAGTGTGGGCAAGGCTTTATTCAGAAATCAAACCTGACAGCCCACCTGAAGATGCACACAGGGGAGAAGGCTTATGTGTGCAAGGAGTGTGGGCAAGGCTTTATCCATAAATCATCCCTCATCTACCACCAGTGGAAACACTCAGGGGAGGAACCTTTTGTGTGTAGTTATTGTGGGCGAGGTTTTCAGCGTAAGTCAAATCTCCAGATACATCAGAAGACACACTCAGGGGAGAAGCCTTTTGTATGAAGGGAGTGTGGGTAAGGCCCCAGTGCACAGATGGAGAAAAGAGCCTGTGTGTGCTGCAGGGTGAGAAAGATGAGCCATAATCACACCTGGGGATGTCAGAGATTACACTCAGTGGGGAAATATTTGTGTGTACAGTGTGGCCAAAGCTTTGGTTAGAAGACAACATATGCAGTAGAAATCTGTTCACCTCTCACCTCCCCATCCAAGTACCATGGAAACTTCAGGAACCCCCTACTACACATGCATAAGTAGCAATTACTGCAGATTCTCTCTTAAGGGGCTTCCTTAGTGGAAGGATGAAGTGGCACTGACCTGATAACTGAGTGTCTGCACCTCAGGGTCTGCTTGTGTTTGTGTGCCTTTTTAATCCAGTAACCGCTGTTTTACAAAGCTACAGCTGAGCCTGTGACCCCGCTCACAGATGCATCATGGAGGCCATGGGGGTTGGTCCGCAGGGCTATCGAGACTTGAACTTGGAGATGTTCCCAATCCATGAGAAAAATCTGAATGTTTATAGCAGATTCTGAGACAAGAAGTCCAGGTTTGAGAATCAGATGCCAGGGAAGGGGAGGGAATTACCCTGGCTCCTGGGGAAATGTGGTCTCTCTCCTACATAACAGAGCCCCAAAATACATGAAGTAAAACCTGATAGGACTGCAAAAAGAGATAGACATGCTTACTGTAAGAGATGGAGACTTTAGCAGCACTCTATCAGTAACTGAAATATCCAGAAGGCAGAAAACTAGGACAGATTTCAACTGAGTAGAAAATCAATTACCATGCTATTGGATCTGACATTTACAGAATCATCCCACAGCATTAATACACATTTTCTCATGCACATATGAAATAATCACCAAGGTAGACACCATTCTGTGCAATAAAACCCACCAGCATGTGTTTAAAAGAAGAGACATTGCTTTGGGCTGAATTGTGTCTCCCCAACCTAACTTCATATGTTGACGTCCTGATCCCCAGTAAGTCAGAATGTGACTGCATGTGGAGACGGGGTGTATAAGGAAGTAACCAAGTGTACATGAAGTCAGTAGGTTGGGCCCTAACCCAATAGGACTACTGTCCTTACAAACGAGAAAGTATGACATAAGCACAGAGAGATTATGTGAAGGCAGCAGAACCCACAAACCAAACCAAAGGGGCCTCGGAAGAGATCAACCCTGCTGACATCTTAGTCCTGGAATTCTGGTTTTCACAGCTGTGAGGAACTCAACTCTTGTTCAAGCCCCGCAGTCTGTGGTAATGTGTTACGGTGGCCCCAGGAAGCTAATGCCCACATCATAAAAAGTTTGCTTTGTGATCAAATGAAAGTAGCATTCAATAACAAACATACATCAGTGTACCAAAATACTTGGAAATTTAAAAATGCACTTTTGCATGTCTGATGGGTTGAAGATGAATTCCCAGGGGAAAATATTTTTCAAGTGTCTTGAACCACATGAATGAAACATTTTGTTGAAATTTGTGAAATGCAGTGAAAGCATTGTAAGACATTTATTCCAGTGATGCACATATTGAAGGAATCAAATAATCTATGATATAAAACTAAAAAGTAAGAGCACTATAAAAAAGCAGAACAGAATGAACACTGGAGTAGAGGTTAGTGAAACTGAAAATGGGAAACTGATAGAGGATATTGGGGAAACCAAAAGCTGTTGCTTAGAAATATCAAGGAAATTGATGAACCATTAGGTTAATAAACCAAAAGAAAAGACAGGTTCCTAATATCAAAAATTAAAAGAAGAGCCATTACTATTGATCCCGTGTGCATGAAAATGCTAATAAAAGAATATTCTGTACAACTCTGGCCACGGATCTGATATATTAGATGAAATGCACCAAATGATTGAATGCCACTGCCTATGGAGGCTCATACAAAAAGAAATGGGTCCCATCAGGATCATATCTGGTAAAGAAACTGAATCAATAATTAACAACCTCCCAAAAGAGAAGGCACCAGAATGAAATGGTTTCACTGGTGAATTCTGTAAAATATTTAAAGAAGTATTTAAGCCAATTTTCTACAATGTCCTCTAGAAAATAGAAGTAGAAGGAACACTTCTTAACCCCTTCTCTGATTACAGTGTTACTACCCAAAGAAGAGAAAGACATTAAAAAGGGAACTACAGAACAATACATCTTATGAACATAGTCATGAAACTCCTATTAGTACCAAATGTCCAGCAATATATAAAAATAATTAAATGACATGGCCAGACATTTATTCCAGGCATCAAGTTGGGATCATTAATTTTTAATCAGAAAACTTTTGTGTTTTCTTGATCATTGATTTAGTTTGTCCTCTCTGCGAGCTTATGTCTTTGTCTATTTTCTCAGTAAAGTTTCATTGAATCTTTTTTTTCAAGCTTACTTTGAAATTAAACTGATTTTCCTCTTTGTGTTTGGATTGAACCACATTTGTGTTTGGAACAAATACCACTAAATTTGTTCATTATTCTCTCAATTTCAGTTCTTTCTTGTATGTTGTAATATCCCTTTTTATTTTTGCTTTAAGCCAAGCATTATCTTGTTTACACACCCACATGCCTTTAGATAATGCACTTTTCTTTAAAATTAATATGAAAATTCAAAAGTCCTCATCAGGTACTTGATTGAAAGTACACTTGCATTTAAAAAGTGGAAATCATAGAATACATAGAATGCAGAAAGCAGAAATAAACAGTTACAACAAATCTTCATCTGAAGATTTTAAGACAAATATTGAAATAATTCTTTGCTTAAAGCAAAAATAAAAATATTACAACTTGCAGGAATGATCTGACTGTAGATACCCCAGCAGTGAATTTTGCTGTAGTTTAGGTTCTGCTTAAGCTTGATTTGTAACAAAAACTAATCTAAGAGAAAAGAACACTATGTTCACTGTTTAAGTTTGATTAATTGCCGAAAGCAAACTAATAGAAAATACAAAGTGTTAATTTCTGGAGTCGGGTGTGAGCTCTGACTGTGCAACAGGAGCTGCAAATGGTTCCTGTGATCCTGCAGCAAACCCAGGCAAGGAACATGCTATGCAACTCCCTAACCGGATGACTTGACTTAACACAATAGGAATATAAAAAACACCTAGTTCGCAGTTGGTTGATTCATCATTCAATCATTAATGATTGTTTTACTGCTTCCTGCAATCTAATAAAGACGCGGTGGCACACTGACTCGTTGCTTAGTCTCCAAGGAAGTCTAAGCCCTCTCCATTAAATGCCATTCTAACTTGGTTTCTCATTTTCGCGGTCCGTGACTGCAAGGCAACGTCTGGCGCCCAGCGTGGGGCTCAATAGTGACAGGCTTCAATTGACTTCAGGCCGGTCAGAACGGGAAAGGAATTGTATGCTCTGAGGTAAGTGAAACTTTTGGAATTATTTTTGCAGAGTCGTGGGAAATTCCCAGCCCGCCCAAAAACAATAATCTGTTTTATTACATACTTAAAGGCTCCGGGGTTAAAGTAGAAAAATCAACTATGACAGAGTTATTTGATTTGGTGAATAAGCATTGTTATCGGTTTAATCCACAAGGGAAAGCTGTATTGAATTTAAAATTCTGGAGACAGGATTTGAGAGCTCTCCGCCGAGCTCATCAACAGGGGGAGCAAATTCCCTTGTCTGTCTGGTCTCTTTAATTTAATTAGTTTAATCCTGGAAACTTTACACTCTGAATCTGAAGAATCTGTGAGAGCGGTCAATGCTGAAGTTAATGATGAAAATGAAGATAAAAGAGGAGACCCAGAAAATACTGGGGGAGCGTCCTCATTCTTAAAAATCTGCAGGTGGATATGAAAGTCTAGGGACTTTACATATTGAGTCATTATTTCCTGAGGAGGAATCAGATAAAAGTATTCTGAAACAGAACTAAAAGGGATAGAAAATGTAGCTGCTTATAGAAACTCCACCTTTAAGTAATGATTCTAAACATTCTATTGAAAAATTGCTACCTTAACATTACCAGAATCACTGATTTCAACATTAAATCCTTTGAAAAATAGAGTTGAATCTCCTCTAGTTAAGGAACATGATAAGCACATTCATCCAGTAAAGACTTTTGCTAATAAAGGGAGTGTGTCCCTACAGCCCCTCCTTTGCCTTCATATCATGATATTCCACCTAAGTCAACTGTTCCCATTCCTCAAGTTTCAGTAATAGCTCAATCCATCTTGAATACAAGCAGAGAGGGGGATATTGATGCTTTCTCACTGCCTATTTCAGCTTCTATGTTTCCTGTCACTGTACAACAAATGCCTGCTAATGACCAATATCCTCAAGAATATCAACAATTTGAATACACTCCCTTATCTTTTAAAGTTATAAAGGACTTGAAACAAGTAGTGACTGTTAGGCTGGAGGAAGGAAAAACAAGGACATGCACACAGAACAGAGATGCCATAGGGGGAGAACAGACCAGACCCCGAGGTCCGTGCCTTATACGGAAAGGGGGCAGCTCTCCCTGAATTCCATCCTCCTGATGTGCCAGCTAAGCCCCGGATGTCAGCCTCCTCCCTCTTGGAAGGAAAAAAAGTTTCTAGTTGTCTATCATGTCACCTTTAGCCAATCGTACCTCTCCACGCCCCCTAGGATAGCCGGCCCACTCCTCCCCTCCTAGCCCCTTATAAGCCCCCACCTCCCTGACCGGGCGCGACTTCCCGGCCTGTAGAACCCAGACCGCGGAACATCACCCGGGAGTTGCACTCAAATAAACTACCTGGCCCTTTGTGGCCTCTCTTCGCCTGCTTATTTTGGCTAAAATTTATCTTACAGTGACTATGTATGGAATGCAATCTAATTATGTTGTAGGACTGTTACAAGGATTAGCACAGGAATACTCCTTAATCCCCTATGACTGGGATATGTTAGCCAGAACAGTGACCTTTAACAAAAGAGAAGCTTCAAACATTAGAGCAATTAATTCTTGAATAGCTGTCTGCTGGACATATAGAAGAATCTGTTAGTCCATTGAATTATTCTATTTTTGTTATTAAGAAAAAAATCAGGAAAATGGAGAATGCTGATAAATATTAAAAAATAAATGCTGTTATTCAACCTATGGGTCCTCTCCAACCTGGACTGCCACAACCCAGTATGATTCCCTTCTATTGGAATTTAAAATAATTGACTTAAAAGATTGCTTTTTCACCATTCCATTACAGCCTTCTGATTGTGAAAATTTTGCTTTTACTGTTCCATCTCCCAATAATTATAAATCTACTGCTAGATATCAATAGAAAGTTTTCCCTCAAGAAATGTTAAAAAGTCCTACATTATGCCAATATTTTGTTAATCAGCCTTTAGAAAAATTAAGGAGAAAATTTCCTGATTCATTAATTATTCATTATATGAATATTTTCATTGCTCATTAAAATTTGCCCACCTTGCAAACCCTCTATGAGCAAGCTGTTACAGAATTAAAAATTTATGGTCTTATTGCTTCTGACAAGGTACAGGATAGTATTTCATAGAACTCTTTAGGAAGTATAATTGAAAGAACAAAAATTCTTCCACAAAAATTCAAATTTGGAGGGATACTCTCAGGACTCAATGATTTTCAAAAGCTGTTAGGTGATATTAATTGGCTTTGTCCTTCATTAGGAATTCCAACCTATTCACTCCAGCATTTATTTAATACTTTAACTGGGAATTCTGAGTTAAATAGTCCTAGACAATTGCAACCTCAAGCTGAACAAGAATTAGAATGGATAGAAGAACGTATGAGAAATAGTTATTTGGATCGTATTGATACACAATATGATGTTGAGTTATAGTCTTCCCTTCTGAGCATTCCCCTACTGGTATTTTATAGCAAAAAATGAAAAATTTTTAAATTGATATTTTTACCACGTAAGACATAAAAAAGTTATTTACATATATAGGTAAACTTTGTCAGTTAACTATTCATGGGCACGTACGATTGCATGCCTTGATTGCACAAGACCCTTTCCAAATTGTGTTCTCCTTACTAACACCCAAATAGCTGACAACTGGAAATTTAATGACAGCTGGCAAACAGCCTTTGCCAACTATATAGGAAATATCAATAATCATTTTCCAAAAGACAAATGTATTCAATTTCTTTTAAAAACTCAATGGATTTGTACTGACATTATTAAAACTCATCCTATCCTAAAAGCTGATACTTATACAGATATTAATAAGGAATGCAAAGCAAGATATAGTGGAAAAACTACAAAAATTGTTCAAACTTCTTATCACTCGGTACAAAAAGCTGAATTATATGCTGTTATTGTTATTACAAGATGTTACAAATTCCCTTAATATTGTTACTGACTCACAATGTGTTCAATATACAGTAAAACATATTTACTGTTACTGTATTTGATGATGACAGTGAATTGTATCAATTATTTTGTACTTTACAACAACTGACATTCAGGAATAACTTACAGGTTTAGTGGTGTCCTGACAAAAGCATCGAGACAAATAAGTAATTTTCATTTTAGTTTAAGAAGGTTGAAAATGTTCACAATGCACATGAATGTTAATCTCGTTTTTTAATCCCCTTTGCATTTTCCTTGTTAATCTCCTTTTTCGTTTTTCTTTTTAAATGGACACCCTTAATTGCATAGATATGAAGAAAATATATGACAGGAAATTAATCTTTTCTGTTTCAATTTTAAATTTAAGCTTTGTATTAAAGAAAACTTGATTATATAGGTTCGTCACATTGTCAGTACTACAGCAGGGAGAATACAGTTAATGACCCTGTAACATTTTACCATGTGAGGGATGCTGATGCAGTGGAGGACATGAGGACTTAACAACATGGGTGGTGTTGATCTAATGTTTTGTGTAATTGAAAGCATCATAATATTGTATATCAATGATACTTTAATAAAAAGAAAGAATAGAAGAATAATTTGCTGGGAACAAAAAGAAAACTTGATTATAACATTCTAGAAAGATGACAAAACAGAAAGCCACCAGAATCTGTCTCCCAACGATACAGCACATAGACCGGCAGAACCTGCATGATGCAAATATTTTGGACTCTGGAGGCTACTGAAGCCTTGCAACTTCCAAGGAAAGCCTAGGAAGGTAAACTGGGGTTAGTTTCTATCCCTTTCAGCTCCTTGCACACTGGCAGCCTCCCAGCCCCAGGGCCACAGCCATGCACTCCTGCAGCAGCTTGCACACAACTTGTGGGAGCCAGAGTGGGAAGAAAGGGTGAGTCCAGGTCTCAGGGATCTGGGCTCTGAATGTGGACCGCTGCTTCTGGGCAGATAGGCCCAGACAGAGTGCACGTGGTCATTGTTGCTCCTCCCCTTTGGCTGCAAGCCCCACCCTGTCCAGCAGAAGAGATTTCCTGGGGACTTCAAGGGCCAGAACACTCTGTTCCTCCATGTCTCTCATTTCCCCCTTGGTGCTTCATTAAAGACTGGAAAATTCAAAAGGAATTGCATACACAGAGAAAACTGGGCAGTGACCACACAGCCAAAGGAAAGGCTCTGGCAGAAAAATAAGGGGAGATTTTACATTTGCAACCCAGGATCATCCTTGTCACTGACACAGCCTTCAACAATTAGAAAAATAAAAGCATTACCAAAAACACTAAGCCCTGGTGAAGGGGGAGAATTGATTTCCACAGATAAAAAATTATTAGATTTAAATGTCCAGTTTTCTACAGAAACTATAAGGCATACAAAGCACCAGGAATGTATGACTCATTCAAAGACAAAGAAATCTGTTTCTGTGAGAGAGCTGATGGCAGGTGTGCAACACAAGGACTCTAGAGCAACTGTCTTATAGGAGTTCAAAGAACTAAGGAGGTTAAGGAAGTCAAGAAAATGCATGGACAAAATGGGAATATTATTAAAGAGATGGAAAACCTAAATAAAAAAGAAAATGAAGTTCTGCAGCTAAAAATACACTAGCTGCAACAATAAATTCACTGAAGGGATTCAAAGACAATTTGAGCAGACAAAATAAAGAATTCATGAACTTGAATTTAAGATAATAGAAATAAATGAATCAGAGGAACAGGAAGAGAAAACTGAAGAAATGTAAAAACACCTGAGGGACCTGCATGACACCATGAAGTGGACGAACATAAGCCCTGCAAGAGACCCAGGAAGGAGTGAGGAGAGAATGTTTGAAGAAACAGTAGTTGAAAACAATAAAAGTTTGGTGAAGACATGAATATACACATGTCAGAAGCACAAAGAACAAATTGACTCAAAGAGACTCACGTGAAGACAATAACATCAAACCTCAAAAGGCCAAGGTTGAATGTTGAAAAATCAAGAGAAGCAACTCGTCATACAAGGGATCCTCAGAAAGTTGATCACCAGATTTCTCATCAGAAACTCCGGAGGCCAGAGGGCAGTGGGCCCATGTCTCCACAGCTCTAAAAGGAAAATAAAAACCTGTTAACCGAGGATCTTGTATCAGGCAAAAGTGTCCTTCAAAAGGGAGGGAGAAATGCAGTCATTTGCAGATGAACAATTTAGTTACTACCAGACCTGCCCTGCAGGAGATGCTCAAGGGAGTCCCACAGGGAGAAGTGAAAGGGTACTAATACGAACTGGAAGCCATATGAGAAAGTAAAGGTCTCAACAAAGGGAAATAGAAGGGCAGTTATAAAAGCTAGTAATGAGGTAACAGTTTGTAACTGTTTTTGCTTTCTACATGATTTAAAAGGAAAATACGTTACAAATTATTAATTTCAAAGATAGTGTCATTGTCGTTTTGGCTTGTACATCCACATTTTCTCTTCTATGGAATTTAAGCAGCTATCATATTCCAAAAAATTATTAGTTTATATTTTGGGGCACACAGTGAATAAAGGTGTAATTTTGTGGTATCAAAACTGAAAGAGGTGATAACAAATCTGTAAAAGCAGAGTTTTTGTATATTACTGAAGTTACATTGGTATAAATTCAAATTAGTTTTAACTATAGGGGTTTTAGGGTAATCTACAATGCAACCACCAAGAAAACAGCTCCAGAACAAAACAAGGAAATGAGATACTAGTTTAAACATTTCAAACAAAAAATCAACTAAACACAAAAGAATATGGCAAGGTAGCAATTGAGAAAAATCTGTAAAGCATATAGAAAACAAATAGCAAAATGACAGAAGCCCCACCTTACCAGAAATTTTTAGATGTCAAGGATTAAACATGCCAATCAAAAATAGAGATTTGCAAAGTCAAAAACACATGACCCAACTATACATTATCCATAAAAGACACAGTTTAGATACAAAGACTCAAACAGACTGAGCCTGAGAGGATGGAAAATGATGTAACATACAAAGAGCAACTACGAGATCAGAGGGGGACCTAGTCATCTCAAAGCAGATTCTGAATCCAAGAGCTTATGAGAAAAAATGACATGACATATTAATAAAAATTCAAAACCGCAAGAAAATAAAACAATTATAAATATTTATGCACCTAATAACACCATCAAAATATGTGAAGTAAAATACTGACAGAATAGAAGGGCAACATAGAGAGATGGATAATAGCTGGAGATCTCCAGTTCCCACTCCTAGTCATGGGTAGAACAACCAGACATAAGTAAGGAAACAGGATGTAAACAACACAGTAAAACAATGAGATCTAACAGACATACACAGGGCACTGTACACAAGAGCATACACATTTTTCTCAAGTACACGTGGAGTATTTTCCAGAATAGACCATTAGTTGTGCCACAAATTTAGTCTCCATAGATTTTAAAAGAAATGTGTCAGAGAAAGTATCTTCTGAGACTATGATGTTAGTTAGAAATCAACTACAGAAGTAAAATGAACATTCACAAATTTGTGGAAACTGGGCACAGTTAAACAACAAACGGATCAAAGAAGATAAAAAGGAAATTGCAGATTATCAGTGCCCCATTCTGAGAAGACTTTAAACTAAAATGCACACACTCTTTTCAAGTCATGGAGCTGTAATGAACTTGTACAGTGGACCTGGGTGGGAAGGGCCTGGAGAGATTTTCCCCAAGGTAGGAAGGGCCAGGGCCAGCACTGGGCAGCAGGGACTGCCCAGCAGACGGGCCAGTGTGCACAGGGCAGAAACCAAGAGAAGCAGGGCTGCAGTGTAGCTTTCACTTTCTTTACTCAGGTGGTCTTACAATGGCCCATCTTTATTTAGACCTTATTTCCTGCAAATTTGATGACATCCTGTAGCTACTGGTATTACAACTGCCAAGGGGACCACCTTACAAATTATACTTAATAACCTGAGGCTGACCTATAAAGATGGGTCTGTGCATCTCAAGACTTTCAGTTGCTACAGCAAAAGTCAGTGGCTCAAATATTAACTGTAGCATCCTGAAGCCTAAAAACATTTAATCAGAAAGAATTAAAGTCAGGATGTCCTTTATCTGGCCATCACCTCCTCTTAAGTAGCAATGTTGGATGGGTCATGGAATGTCATTAGACTGTCCCAAAGGGACACCTGGGGAACATGCCCAGCCCCGCACTAGAGGACTGATCACACAGGCAGCTACAGATCCTCTGGGTTTGTACTTGTGACTGTCGGTAAACTGTGCACATCGGAAACACAAATCAAACTGCTCTAATCCCCTAAACCTCCTTCCTCCCCTTGATGTTACCTGTCTGTCTTAGTCATGTTCTCCAAGGGAAAGCCATACCTGTTATCTCCAAGTCCCTATGTCGTGCTCTTCCCTAAATCCATTGCATGGTAGCCTCTGTCTTTGCCACTAGGATGAAGTAAGACTTGCCGGGTCGGGAGGCACCTCCCAAATTGCCAGGGTCAGTGGACATTTCAAGTCTGTGTTAATGACGTTACTGAGGCATTCCACGAAACTGTCCCTTCTATCCTCAGTACCCTTGACCTCACCGGCACCCCCGGGCTATGTTGCCCCAGTATCTCTAGCTGCCAACAGTACACAGTACCTGTGTGTACTCGGTGGCCTGAGCCCTGCATGATGCCATCTAAGTCTTGTAGGCCAAATTGTGCTGGAGGCCAAGAGTTCGAGCTTTAAAAGCAGACACCTGAGTCTGAATCACAGCTCTTCCGGTACGTTGCTGAAAGTGCCTGAACAAGTTGCTTCCCCACTCTGAGCCTCAAATCCCCATTATGAAATCTGAATAATGATAGTAGTCCTCGCTATCCCTGTCAGGTGGGTTTAATGTGCTGCATGGCAAGTACCTAGCATCCGGTGTTCACCTGAAGAATTGTACTACCACCCACCCTGTCACCCAGCGTGTCCCCTCCGCACATCCTCTACCTCTGTCTTCTCTAAAGCTGACACAGCTTACATCTAGGCTGTTGCTGTGGTCCAGTCCCCAAACTCACCATGTCCACTTCATTTCCCACATTCCAACCACAGGGGAATTTCTGACACAAAGTCAGACTGTATTTCACCATGGTCTTTATACCGTCACTGTATTTTGTTCAGATAATTGTTCTACACTTGTCACCAAATATTGTAAGTAATTTATGCAGCTCAGATGCCTGTAAGTAAACCGTGAGCTTCTAACAGGGAACTAACAGTCTTGGTCATCCTCATGTGATGCAGGGCAAATGTTGAATGATAGATGCTGGATGGACAGATAAAAATCCAGGTCTCTGGAATTGGTTCTGTTGACACATCCTTTATAAATAACTTGTGAAATGATCGGAATAGAACCTGGTGCTTCTGACTGTACGGGGAACGCTTTATCGCCTGAGACTACACCACCAGCCTTAGATGTGGGCCTCTTCAAAGGAAACAGGCCTGCTCTCAGAAATCACTCTGAGTGAACTGTGAAATCGGGAGGTCTGGACACTGGGCTTCGGGAGAAGGAGGCGGGTACTGGCTGTACGCACCAGCTTTCTTTTTTTTAGTCTTCTGAGAAAGGTCTTTGTTTTCATCCTCTTAAGCCCCACCCTCCAGGTGTCACTACTCAAGAGGGAACCTTCTGTAGAAATGGAGGTTTCTCAGTGAACAAGGCAGAAAAGATTTCTGCATTCTTGAGTTTACCTTCTGATGGGGATGACAGTGAACATTATACATCAGACATATTTATATTTTATAAGTGTATTAGAAAAAGTAGAGGGGAAATAAATGCAGTTCTCAGGAATAAATACATTGTTCTGATTAGACCACGTTGAGTAAAGATGTTTGTGCAAAGACTTGAATGTGAAATAACAGGAGGCTGCTTGACTCATCAGGCTGTGTGCTGGCAGCCATGTTTGTGAGCATGTGATTTTAATTTACATTTTTGTTGGCATTCAGCCGCCTCGTATCTTAATCATGGTGTTGTGAAATATTATGTGGTCCCCACATTAGCTTCAAAAAGTCTTAAATCACAGTTAGCTGAACAGTAGTACTGGTGATATTAACTCTAAATCTGGGTCCACAGCATAAGAGGGAGAAGAACAGTTTCGTTTGGTATATGCTGAAATAGTGCCTTGGAGTTTTTGAAGTACAGGAAATTTGACTTGATGTCTACAAATTGGTGCAACCCCCTCACTCTCGTAGGGCCCCTTTTTTCAGGACTGTAGGTGCCTGGTGGGCTTATCCTACTCAAAATTCTTTTCAATTCTGTCTTCCCCCTGTGCAGAATGTCACCACATGTCCTAGTTAGAGACCCTTTCCATCGACCCCAAATTCAGTCAAAACTCCCATTCGCTCCCTGTGGGCATCAGGAGAGTTTGTACTAATACCAGTTAGTATTGATTCAACTTAGGTGTTGTTTCTCTTCAAAGTCATATTAATATGTTCATTAGTGATTAAAATATTTTCCTGGGTTATTATTATTAAAATAGTATTTTTATCCAGATGAATCTGTAAATAGCTGCTGTGTGACAAATGTAGGAAAGCTAATTCGGGGGATGTAATGGTTCTGAAACTGGGGGGCAGTGTGCTCTGCCTTTACCAGAATCTCCCCGTGAAGGTGAGCTAAGCCTTTGTGAGCAGCCCGGGATGTGCTTGAGGAATTGCCAGGTGGAGGAACAGGAAATGTTTATTCGCGGCTGTTCACTGGCTGTGAGCCGCCTCCCGTTCAAGCTCCCGCACTGCGGAGTCCACGACTCCTATGTCCTCTTACTGGGTTACAGCAGGGTCCTGGACCTTTACAGGGACCCTCGAGAGGAACTCAGTTGGCATCGCTAATA